ATTAAAGACTATATATATCTAAACGGTGAAAAATATAGACCACAAGATATTTCACCTATAAATATTTTTAGCTTTGTTACACTAAAAAATGAAATTCTCGATTTTCTAGGATGGCCCTACTACATCTTAGAAAAATTAACTATTTTATACGCAATGTTTAACTTTATAGGATTTCTTTTTTCGCTTTTAAAAGGAATCTATAATACATGCGCTATACACACACAAGTAAATAACCAAGCAAGTTTAGCACGCATACTATTTGCAGGATTTTTTGGAATTTTTTCGTCATCAATAAACAAAATTCTTTTAGACGCACAAATAAAAGAATACAACACAAAAATAGCAACAAGACAGAACACTTACGACGAAGAACATAACAATGTAGACATAACGCCTACAGCACCACAGTTACCACCCTTACCACATAACCATCCACTATCACTAGTCCCACAAAATTTTCGAAATTTAGCAATAACACATAATCCAAATTTTAGACCAACCATATCTCAAAGTCCCATTCAACATATAATGACACACCATCCACTAGATGAAAATACATATGAACAAATTATAGAACAACCCCATACCACCGCTTTTCAGTCTCAAAATAATAATTTTTTTAGCCCACGATGAGCCGACAACTTGGATCCCTACACCGCTCAAATTCCCACCCGACCAACCTCAACACTCCAATTACAATAATTCCACTTTTTGCTTTCCCACCACCCGATTTCCCAACCAATAATGTAACATCAGGCATGAATTCAGACACTAATTCACATATCTCAGTTTTATACTCCATCTCACAACTCAATAACCCAGATATTGAAACCCCCGACGAATTTGCAGACTCTGAACCATCTCCATCCAATAATTTTCAAACCAACTCCTCAGTTTTTTCAAAACCCCCTTTTCAACCAATCCCGCCAAATAACCCACTCCCATCGATTTCTACACCCTCTTATGCTTCACAAGTCACCCCAACCTACTCTTCATTTCATTCAGACCGATCATCCAATTCTCCAGATACTCCCCAAATCTCCCAGGAACTAGATAATTTTATCACCCTACAACAACAACCCTTCCACCTTGAACATTCCACTATAAATCAGATTTCATCCACAATAGAATCATCAAACCCACCTACCCCTACACCCTCTTCAGCTTATACCGCATCATTAGCACCATCCTCCACATCCACCGAATCATCAAATAGCACTAATAGAGCTTATCGCACTTATAAAAGAAAATTCCCGAACCATCCATTTCCAACAAAACCAGGAACAGCCCGTGAATCTATTAATCATCCAAATCACACTAAAACGAAAGATTTTTTAGCCATCACCCTACCTTCATTTCCACAGTATACTTTAAACACCCCTAACGACACTAACGACACACGCAGTTTGGTAGATGAACACGTTTTAATGCCTACACTTCAATGGACATCATATTATCATATTATCATTTTACTAACCCCCTTTGCCTACCTTTATCTAATACTCTCATCGATATAGAAAGAAATAAAGATATGCTATATCGACTCACCACACCATTATCACATAGACATTTCACTTATATATGATATAAAAAGTCACTAAAAACATACACTGCACCCCGAGCTAACGACTACACGCTAGAATATTACGATCACAACATCATCCGAACTAACCAAGACCAATTTTTAGATGATGACCGTTTCGCTAACCCACAAATCACAGAAAAATTTTTCATCAAAACACCATATGTATTTACACTCAATATATTTGATCGCAAATTCGACCACATCATTTCTGAAGCACTAACCGACACACAAGCTTACGAAAGTTTTAAAGAAAAATTTCAATTATTTTCACTAACCTTTCATTTCCTTGCACCACATGAAAGAGATTTGCACTGCTCACACGACATTATGTTACGCACTAAACAAACCCACACATATACATATTATCGCTTCATACAAAATCACTTTGATCTACACACTCCATCAAGACAACCACACCACCGATTTCAATTTATTAACTCTAAGTACACTTCACCATTTTTTCTTAACTTCACATATTGCATCAAAGATACTAACCTTCACGGTATTCTTCGCAATTATGATCCCATAACCCAAATGTATATTTTTTGTCCCATCACAAAGACCTTCAACGCAGAAGAATCCAGACCCTTCCTTATCCCACATGAATTTGTTCAACCTATAGAAATCCCCATATTAGAATTCATCCACAACACTAAATATAACCACAAATTATATAATCTCATCCAAAACACACCTTATGATTTTGCAGTTGGCACTGAAGAACTAAAAACCATTAAAGCACTTCAATTGCTTTGGCCACTGCTTCAAACTAAAAACATCATTCGCATACTAGCAAAGTTACTAACAAATTCCGACATAATCCACGACATCTTCCCCCACGGTTTTTTCCCCGACGACTAACAGGTAAGTATAAATTCTCATATTCTTAACTAATAAATTAAAATAAAACACTAACCATTCTTTATCCATGTTTTATTTAGATTTTTAGTCTTCATCTCACGATCATCTGCAAAATACACAAAAGAAAAAAAAAATAGAAAACTTCTTCAAATTTTCCAAAACTCTAATAATCTTTTGCACCAGCTAAATTAAATAAAGTTCATACCAATGTAGTAATTTAATTTATAAATTATTTCCCTAAAAGCAGTAATTCTAATAATAATGAAAATTTGTAACTTATTTTTTCCCCAAAACTAGCAGTAAAATTGAAATTCTATGTAGTAAATTGATAAGACGAAAATGCAGTACTAACCTTTTGATATTTCCATTCACTCGCACAAAAATTCTATCCAAACTCGCACAGCTCGCCCACGAAGAATTGTTTAAATAATGAATTTCAGTTTCAAGCTTTCACACTCAACAACTCTAACACACGATAACAAGTTTCAAACTTTCCTTTAACCCGGTTGGAAAGGAATTATATACTAAACAAAACTAACCAACGCAGCTTACTAAACACCACAACACATAGAATAACAGCATGACTAAGAAAAGGAAACCAACGGTACCCAAACCGGATTAACCCAGTTTAAAACTGGATAATTTATTCTTTTGAAGACTATTATAAAGTCTAAGAAAGAAATAATAAAACACAAAAAAGTCGAAAGACAAACCCATACCAAAAACAATTTGATTTTTGAAAAAAGGACACAACCAACGAAACATAAGAAAAACCACAATAAACCCAACATAAAACGTTATCACACAACAGGACCCCTCACAGAAACCGCACGAAATCATACTCCCACTCCTGGCCTAACCCACCAGAGAGGACGTCCTGAGCATGCTCTATAGCCGGCCTAACCCACCGCGCTACATCCACTCTTTGTGACCACACTTCTATTTTTAATAAGAGGTACTCAAGGGTGAGTAACTCTTCAAAATAACCGAACTAAAACAAAAAGCTTTTGTGAAAACAACTAACCAAAATCATAATTAAAACACCAAACTAATAAAAATTTTATAAAATGTAAATTATACCTTGCAGTATATAAATCAGCATACAACACCAAAGACGAACATCCAAAGACAAAATGACCCCACTACACTCGAAAAAGAATGGCCAACCACAATCAATATGCCGTCCACAATCACAACTCAAAGGATTTAGAGTACGACTTGACTTCGCAGAAAAGGACTTCATTGAACTAGACCAATGACCACCTCGATGTTCAAGTATACGTACAGATCCGAGTAACCAGGCATCCCCTCCACGCACAATCTCCACGCCATTCCCAGACAAGGTCAACCCAAAAGAAGTTCTCTACATGGAACAGAAAAACCTGACATAGCCAACCATTCTGAAATCAGATTTGAGTTTGTTGCGAAAACCCAGTCGTTGTCATGAGAAGACACAGCGATTGAACCTGGAACTTCTCTAACAAGAGAACCCAGAAGAATTATGATGTTCGCCAAAAACCAACGTCCATCATCCATCCTTTGAATTGCAGAAAGACTATTCTAAAAAACTCTGTAAAACCCGGATGGGTGGAACCTGATCTAAACTACATTTTATGATTGGATAAATTAGATATTTTACCATTGTAAAGTATTTAATATTAACCAATCATGATCCATCTAACTAACAACCCACTTATTTGTAAGTGCTGAAATTACTTGTAATTTCAGCACCAGAGAGATTTGAATTTAACTTAGAAATTAGTTGACTCTCCAAGCGAACTTCAGCAGCCGCAATAAACCAGTATACCCTAGATCTATTGAGCCTAGCAGAGACTAGTTAAACAACCTGAGACTAGATAGTATAAGAGTAAGATTAGGATCGGTATCAGACTAAGAAGTTGCACGAATCTATCCGGCCGAAAATAAGATAGCGTGACGAGCAGACGGTGTACCCTATCCGAAATTACTCTATGAGTTAACCACCTCGGTTATAACTCACAATTCCAACTGGCCAAAAATTAATATTTTTTGCGCAACATAACATCAAATTTTCACTGTTGTTATGCAATTTTTATTTAATTTTGATGTAATTTCGGCTTCAAGACATGGCGGTTTGTAGATATGGCGAATTGTTGAATAACCGTCTGAAAAACATAGACCATAAAAAACCGATTCATAAATATTAGATGACTTTGAAAAACAGATGGCCTGGTAATCATCGTGTGAACAAGAGAAATAGTGCGACCTTGGATGTGATTTGAGACAAATAATCGAGAAAAACATGTGTTATCGAAACAAGCTGGTATTATTAGCAAATTAGTAGAAAACAAGAATATTGTGAAAAGGGTGTGAACAATTTACCAAGAAAAAAACGATTTTAAAAATATGTTTTATATAATCCAAAAATGTACCTGATTGAACTGAATTGGGTCGAATTTGGTAAAAATTAATTGAAAAGTTTAGAAGCCAATTACTAAAAATTCCTAACAAAAGGCGCTAACAAACTAACTATTATTAGACCAGCAACCGCAAGTACGCTACAAATTTAACTCACAGGAAATAGTTTGAAGATTGGAACTTTCGAAGATGATCCCGGAACTGGTATTGAGATTCGAACTAGGTACTGAGAGAACAGTGCAATCAGGGCGAAGGTCCTGCAAAACAAAGTATATTTTGCCAGAAATTCGCAATGAGACTGAAAAAAGATGTACGGCAGCGTGCACAATGAGTTATCACAAATATATTTTAAGCAGTGGGTAGCGCAGAAAGTTTCATCGGCAGGTCTCTGCCAAATTCTAGAGTGACCATATTTGGAAAAGTTTTCCTTTCGAGCATTTCAGAGCATTTTAAGTCATACTATGCTTTAGGTTTCGTTGCAGAACTATTGCGAAAAGAGAAATTTTTTGTCGGCCTAATTGATTTTCCATGCACACCGAAAGCAATATAAAAACTCTAACTTTCAAAATTGTTCTGCTGCGCATTACGAGGCCAAGCTGTGCAATCTGTTCCTTGTATGCGGATTCCACAACAGGCCAAAATCAGATTTGTCGCGGAATCCACATCATTGGTACTTTTCTTGGATTTCTTCAAAACAACTAGCTATACTCGCTTGTTGTGGAATCCGCGACACAACAAATGTGCCGACAAAATTTACTTTACACTCATATGTACGCGGAATCCACGGAAGTTTTGTAAGTGGAATCCACTTACATTTTGGAACATGTTTAAATACTTGTCTCTGGAATCCAGGAACATACAGACACAAAACTTTGCGCCTATCCAGTGCACAGTTTGGCCTCGTAATGCGCTGGCGAATTTTTGAATGTCATTTTTGGGCAGTTTTTCGAAAGTTTCGGCAAAAATTACACTCAAACACTTTTAGGGTTGCTCAGCTAGAAATGGCTCTTAAATTAGTACCAAATGTCGGACGCTTTTGAAAAGTTTGACAGCCAGGACTGAGAGAGGAGGAGGCATTGACTTACATAAGTGACACGCCCCAGTTGTATTGGGCAAAAGAAGTGGCTTCCTCGAATAGAGCCAAACCAACTAGAGTTATAGTTGGTGCAATGCAAAGGGGTCCCACGTATTTCAACATCCAGCCCATCAGACCCGTGAACCCAACTAATACCTGGAGAAGGGAGGCAATCAGGATGGCTCCTTGCACCTGAAATCATTTCAAATTATGTACTTTGCGAACATACAATTTTTGTAATAAATAATTCGCAAGAAATATGATGTTTTGATTACTTTTTCACCTTACGATTTCTCATCTTGAGAAAAGAGGTAATATCAGAACTGGTCTTGAAATTAGTGAACAAAAAATTCCTTCCTGCTGAAAACTCAATTTCGTTTATTATATCGAATTTGTACTAGTTTTTTCAATTTTATACATAAATTTAACTTAACTAAATTTTATGCAAAAGCTTAACTTCCTTTTTTAAAGGTTACTGCCGAAAATTGAATTTATTATATCAGGCATACGTCACTGATTAGTTTTTAAGACAAGTGAGGGAATTTTGACAGAAGAGAGTTCCGTAATTACAATTTATTAACAGTTTTATTAGTGCCCTCTTGAAAAAGAGCAGTATCCTGAAATAAGTACATTTTCATGCTTTTTGCAATGGATTTGACTTTTAATCAACATACAGCTATATCTACAAACCGCTATATCTTGAAGCCAAAATTGCATCAGAATTACATAAAATACATCAGAATTACGTGACAATTGCATAACAACAGTGATAACCTGTTGTTATGTTGCATAACAAGATATGACGGTTTGTAGATATGGCAGTTTGCCTACCACCAATCAATTTGTGGCCCAAATTGTTTGTCTATCAGTTTGTTACTAAACGCTTAAACATCCTGAACCCCAGTCCATTTAAAACTTTGCGGTGATAATTCATTTGAAATCAATACGTTTAACCTACTTTTTTCAAAATATAAATTTTTGTAAAATTTTATTCGAAATCAGATTCAAAATTGTATTTTTTTAAACACTCATACCCTCTTAAGGGGCTCAAAATTAGTATTTCTACATCTTGACTTGAATTGATATCAATACGGTTTAATCTGATTGGCGAAACAACTTCAAATAACATGGTCCAATATTTTCATTAGAAGTTACAGCTGATAAAATTTTTAGCCGAAAAGACCAATAATAAAATTTTCACGGTTCACTTATGGGTTGAAACTATTTTGTTTATCTGACAATATTCCACCAAAAGACCAATAATAAAATTTTCACGGTTCACTAATGGGTTGAAATTATTTTGTTTATCTGACAATATTTTTGGCTTTGTTTCTTTCAAATCTATAACAAAATTCTACATTTTGGAAAGTTTTTATCTGCTGAAAAAACTCCACCTATTTGGATCTTCGGATATTTTTTTTGTGTTTTTTCATCTTCTGGAAAATTTATTTTAAAAGTTTGGCAGTGTTGCTCGAGTTCGGTTGGTTGACATTAGCCAATCGGATTCGACTGCATACATATCAGTTCAAGATACGAAAACATTGATTTTGGGCCGTTTGGTGCATAAGACCCCAGCGATCTTTCGAAAAATTATTTTTCATTTAACAAAAACACAACTTAGTCGAATCCCATGGCATCCTCTGTAATAATTTTTTGGAAACTCAATTTCTCAGCTATCTGATTAGAATTTGTGACAGTTTGCGTGCGAATAAATTAACGTTTGTTTGAATGAAATAGTTTCACACAGTTAACCAAGAATTTGAGTGGAGGTTAACACACGGCTGCTGCGTAAAAAATTCGTTGTATAAAAACACCCAAAGTGTAAAGCGAAGAAAGAGGAGGAAGAGAGAGAAATATTAGCAAAGCTATGAACTTAAGCTCAAATATATCAACCAGCCAAAAATACGTAAGTATTACATAATAGGTGTCTAACATTTATGTAACAACTGCGAAAGTTATGCAAATTCATTCACATGTTGTAAATTTTCGGCTGGCTTATATACTCCGCGCATTTAATGTTGGTTTATAATTCGGCTGATTTATTTACTCCCAAAATATTGGATTTGTAAAGTTTGACTGTTATATGGCAAATACCCATAACTTTATAAAAAGAAGGCCAAGCACATTAAAAAAATATTATAAAACTTGAATTTAATTTATGGAGAAGCTAACATCCTCCCCCTAAAATGGTTAAGCGCCTTCCTTTCAGGAACGCGTTTTTTACACGCACCCCTAAGAAACCTTAATCTAAAAAATCGGATATTAACTTGTTCTGTTTAGAAGGGAGAATGTTAATTTGATCGCAATTTTTTTCAATGTGGGTAAATATTAAACGAGACTGCTCAGGGTTCTGACTGCCCTGAAGGTTCTGACTGCCCTTTAGTTGGTCTCGAATGATTTTGGCAATTTAAATATTAGCAAAGCTATGAACTTAAGCTCAAATATATCAAAAATTAAGTCATGCAATGTGAGACATGTGTGGATTTAAATAAAACCAATTAGCTGCCTCTATTCAATTTGGAACGATGTTTTATTGCGGGAAAAGAAAAACAAGCTCTTAGACATGCTCATAGATATTTTAGACATGCGCATGTCAGTTTACTTTGGTGGTGTGCACACTCAGCTGACTCCATGCAGATCAAGAGATTATTTCCCAGATTTTTGAAAAAGCGTTATGAATGAACAAAAACATATATATTCCGAACATATATATTCCTCCTTTTCTCCGAAAGTCGGAACAAAAACGTAAGTTTGCAAGTTTTAACAGCGCTTACTGCATTCAAACAGGTCATTACAAAACGCCGAAGAGCAAAACAAGAGCATGCTGTTCAAGTGCACCAAATTATCTTTTTAAAACTCAGATTTACGAAAACTTGAGAAAAATTAAAGCAATATATACCGGGACGCAGACCAAAAAAGGAAGTTAGCCCCAATCTAATTGCTATTTGAAGTAATTAAAACAAGCAAACTCTCCTGAGTCGACGTCAAAAGTTTCTTAAGCTTTAAATCACGCCGGCAATAAACAAAATTTCTCAAAAAAAAATTTGTTCCAACCATTTCAAACTTGTTGAGAAATTTTGTATTTGGGTGTTTTAGTTTTTTTTTCGGCACAAAATCAGGTACCACATAAGGGATTATATTGGCATAAAAAAGAAATACAATCCATTTTTAATGGATTATAATTGATTATAATGGATTATATTGATATAAAAAATAATGGATTACAATCCATTTTTTATGGATTATAATCAATTGTTTTTGTTATTTCATAGATACTGACTATAAAAATGACAATAGAATTGATTATTAGCCATGGTACTCCAGTGCGGGAAAATTAAGAAAATTTCCTAACTATAGAAATTTCAATCTATAAAGATGTCATGCACAAAATTTGGTTATCAGAACTGACAACTTATCTACCAGTAAAATAGCTAGTAATTATTTGATCCGACTTTCGAAGAAAACGGAATATATATGATCGATGTGGTTTTTTTATTCAGTCAATTTTCGGCGATCGAAATAATATTTTTCAACAAAAAAAATATACACCATTGAAATTTTTTTACCTCCGTTTATTTTTTGCAAAGTTCTGGGAGTTTGAAGTTTGCCCATTTGCTCTTGCTCTAGACTATTATACTCGCGCTTTAAAGATATCATTCATAATGCGGAAAGCGTTACGCGAATTATTTATGCGTGGCAAATTATTCCGCACAACAAAATAGTTCCAAATCGAGTTGAGGCTGGCTAATTGATTGTAGTAGTTTCATACGACTCCAATTTTTACACATAATTTTTGATTTTGTCCAAATTTTCTAAATTTTCAGTTTTTTTTCCAAAAATTATTCAATATGGATTAAGTGGCAGAGATGTAGGGATTCGGAACATTCAGATATATTGCCCTGATATATGAGCATTCCATTCATAATGTTGAAAGCGTAACGCGAATCATTTATGAATGGCGAAGTATTCCGCACAACAAAGTCGTTCCCCATTTGAATTAAGGCAAGATAATTGGTCGTATTATTTTTGTACGACTAATAATTACACGCTTGATGTTCTATTTTGTCCAAATTTCATAGTTTTCCAATATTTTGTTTTACCAAAAGCTATTTCAGACTAATTAAAAGTCAGTCGGAACATTCAAGGCTTTACGAGCAGTCTTGTTCGTTTTGGAGCAGGCTTAGTAGAACTTTGCTGCTTTATAACCAAAATTAGGCTACTTACGGAAAAAATTTTGCTTTTTTTGCTAAATAAATTTCGATGCAGGGGAGGGGGGATTCCCTTTCAATTCTGGTTGCCAAATCCGCGCGCCGGAAAAACGGATTTTCTTGTCAAATTTCCAAGAAACGCCTAAAAATGCCGTTTTTTGGTCTGTTTTTTGAAAAGTTTTCTTGCGACCCAGAAGTTTTTTTGACAAAATAAGGTCTTTATAGTCTTTTTGGAGAGCTCGGAAAATCAAATCGGTCTACCTAAAAAAAAGGTCCGCTAAATTTTAAAAAAGGTCCGCAAAGTTTTCGAAAAACCGCCATCCCCTGTCTAGAAAAACTTCTGCGCACGCCAGTAAAGGTACTTATTTATGAGAAATGCAGAATCTTTTACACAATCATGTAATAGTTTTTGAACTTAATTCTGAAATAAACGCTGTCTTAAATTTGACTTACCTGGCAAATTTTCCGGTGCCAAACAACTTCTCCTGAAACAATATATGCATTGTCATAAGAACTGATTCATATATTTATGTATTAAGTTGTTTAGGAGAAAAAAGCAAAAAACTGTCCAAATCAAACAGTCCTCGCAAGAATTTATTGCGTACTACTGGTGACCAAATACTCTACCTATTTATAAGCCAAACTGTTGTTACGAAAAAATGGACCAAAAAATATTATCAACTATAATCCACTTCTACCTTCTGCGACTTCTCTTCAGACTTTAAAAGTCACACAGCGTGTCACTCTGCGACCTTGAATGTATAGATAAGGTCACCTTTTTTGTAAGCAGTTTCTTTACATTTTGCATAACGACTCAGGTGTTCTGAAAATCAGTCGCTATATTCTGGAAATTAGCCTCAATTAACTTGAAATTTTTTTAATGGAATAAAAACCAGTTTGTTCAATAAATGTGAGCCCTTGCCTTTAGATTGATCAATATTGTTCCGACCGCCGTATTTTAGTCTTTTTGGTTCTTCAAAAAAAATTGCAACACAACATCAAAAATCATAAATAATCTGGATTGAGTGTTATAATCGAGAGTTATAATTTTAAAACATTTCAAGGCGATTCGATTGATTGACATTGAAGTCTTTCCTCCAAAAACTTTCTCAGCTAAATCAATGCTATCTTAGAAAAAGCTCTTATTTAAACAGTCAAAAATTTTGAGTTTTTTTTTCGGAATTTTTTGGTTATAATTTTTTTTTCGAAAACTTCAAAAACAATCTGCAAAAAATTAGAAATAATTTTTGAACTTTTTTAAATTTTGTATGTTAATCATAATTTCAAGATGACTTTAGTCGATTATGTCTAAATTACTAGCATTTCAAAGTTTTTTCGAGTTAAGGTTTTACTTGGTTTGCTTAGCTCTCGTCTTTGACGCCACACAGCGCACAAAGTTTTGCTTTTATTTATTTAAGGTCATTTTTTTTCTGGGTTATTTGCACAGAAACCGGCTAGTTTGTTATTAGATGGAAAATCTATAATCTGTTAAGTATAATATTTGTAGGGCTATTTTTTGCGCGTGGTGTGATGACAGAAACGGGAGCTAAGCAAACAGAGTCAAAGAACAACTCGACAAAATTTTGAGGCCCGTAGCATAGTGGTAGGGCGTTCCCTTTGTGATCTCAGATCGTGCAATCGATGCCTTGCTATCATTATGATAGTGTAGGAGGTCGAGCTGTGACTTGATCTCTGGCTTCATTTCTACCACAGCCTGACCGACTACGACTGCAATAATTTTACCAAGTGAGAAATGTAGACGCAAACAAAAGCGAAGTTTAGTCGCAAATCAAGGAATTTCGTTCATCAAAATACCTCAGTCTGGAATGTGGGGAACCTCACACTGACTATGCTGAGACAAGTTGATTAGCTTTTCATAGAAATCGCAGAAAACGCTAGAAATATATATACTTTTATACTTTTTAGGGGGGTTCTTCACATAAAGTTAAAACGTTGGTTGCAAAAATTAATCAAAACCTTCGGGCATCAAAATCAACCAGAAAGTTCAGGGGACAGAACCCTTTTTTTGAACATTTTTATCATCTCCTATAAAATTGCCTTAAATGTTGGAACTCGTTGTACACAATAAGACAAAAACATACTCATTCAATGCAAAATATGCATTATATAAACCTTCAAAAATTTGAGCTTAAAAATTTTGCACCAGGAAAACACTTTTGCGCCAGTTGCTGATTCGAATTTTTTCATCATGTGGGTCGCAAAGATCGTGACGTATCTTCTTGTCTGCGAAAGCTGACAGAATCGATATTTGTTGGCGTTGACTTTCCCGGGTTGAAGTTCCACAATTAATTATTGCTTTTTCTGTAGTATCCCACTGATTGCTTTTTCTAGTTTTTTGCAACGCTAAACCTACATTATTTCATGACTTTTTCAATAATGATTCCGTAAAAAATCAGAGCTAAAATTCAACTCATTCTAGTAGCTTTCAAATGAGGATGTGAGTTAATAAACCCTACAATTTCTCAGCTGATAAAGCTTCGTGAGAGAGAGGTAGCATATAGGTTATTTATAGCTGCTTCTTCGCTAAAATTTAACCAAATTAGCGGTAATCCATCGATAGAGTTTGCTATTGTGGCAAGGAACAACCATAATTCAGTAATGGCAATCGCTGTTTTGTTTTTGCTTTTTTAAATTTTCAATGAGAACGCAACCCGGGTGTTAATACGTTTTTTCAGTCACGTAAAACTGAAAACTCCAAGACTTGGTCACAACATCTATTCAATAGTGCAGAGGATAGATTTCCATAGTATCACAAGCTCTTTACTTGTTTTGAGTCATAACTTGCCTGATACTGGTTCACAGCTTGGGTCTTGACTAAGCAGTGCAATTGTAGGCGCCAGAAATGAAAATGTGCCTCCTTGGATTATTGGCAATCTGAAAAAGAAAACCTAAATGTTGTTCAATTTTAATCATTTACAAATATGAGTAAATTAGTAAAATTAATCAAACAATCACACTCGCATTTCGTGTGATTGTATTGAACAAAATATTGTTCTGAATTGAAGATTCGAAAATTTACATTTAATTTTGTGTGCCAACTCCAAAACGTTATGGATGGTTGCAAAGTCAAAAAACAGTGATTATGAGAAGGTTGCGCTGGTGAACCTCCAGCCACTTTTGAAAATCACGAAGATGCCATTCGGTTATATTTCAACCAAATTGAATTATTATGATTATTATTATATTTATAGTGAAAGCTATAAAGGGAATATATACTAAAAACTGGTGCAAATTTGGCTTTTTACCGAGAAAAATTTGAAGCAACTGTTGAAGTTATTCAAAAATTAATTTTTTTTTGTGCTAATGTTTGCACAATGACCGCTTAAATATTTTGTATTGCATTTCAACTTTTGCGGCAAATTTGAAAATTCTCCGAGTCTATCTTGTAAGTAGCCTAATTTTTTTGTTATTTTTAACCCCTCCGAGTTTTACCTGACTCCAACGGTGCACTGTAAGAATGTGGCGATGCCGGAGACGAAGAAGATTGTTCCGAGCAGCTGTGAAATGGCCAAAAAGTTGTCTGCTTCCACACACAGATGGGCAGAAAGGGCAAAGGGAAGAGCAAGGGTTGAACCGAACATTGTGAGATAATGCTACAAAAATATACTTTGAAAATATTTTCAAATTAAAAATAAGTTTCAATAGAGGTTTTTGAGCAGCTTCAAAAGTTGAGAAAAAAACGGCAACAAGAGCCTCTACAAATGTCTCGAAACTGAAACATTATCAATTTGCAAACAATTTCAGTAACTATATTTCAAAAATCAATGTTGATGGAACTATGCTTAACATAGCTTTGTCCAGTTTTTAAAGCTTCAAAATTTTTTCAAAACATATTTTGAATCAGTCCATAGCTTGCTGAGTAGATTAATTTTGAAACCAACCTGGAAGACGTTTTTCATTTGAAAATTAACTGCAAAATCAGAAATATTTCAAATTTTGATAATCAACTAAGGGCGTTGATCTCCTATTCGAACCTGAAAACCGAGGATTAGGCTGAGTGCTATGGGTGGCTTGTCGTCGATTTTCCAGGTCAATTTGTTCGGATCTTCATCATGCTCGTTTGGGGAAGGGTGCTCAGTTTCTAGTTGAAGTTCGTTGTTCATCTCACTTTTAGTACCTTCTTCGCCCATTTTCATAATACAATTTGTTTCTTAATTGGTTCTATTTTTTAAAAACAGCAATTTTCAAGGCAATTTTAATTGTTTATAATTCAGTTATAATAATATTTTTTTTAATTAATGCTTTAGAACAAGTCCTAAATAGCTTCAATGCGTTAACTTTGAAACTGGATTTACAGGATTTCAGAAGTGTAATCAAATAAATGGTGTTGATGCTTTATCAAAATAATAGATTTTAGTTCATGCGCTGTGCAAATTACGTTTGACGCCATCTTAACCTTTATTCTAATGAGGGTTCGCTTAATTCTTAGGACAAATATTTAGTATATTTTATCTGAGCTGACATGGCTTTTTGTATGATTATATCAGCTTCACTACAATAATAAGCCTTTTCCTTCTCATTCACTTTACACAATTGTAACTTTTATGGCTTTGATGCATATGCTAGCAGAGCAAGGTGACAGGTGATTCATTGATTCATGAACAGACACTGATGAGCATAAAATTTTGTCAGCCAAGCTTTGCTCAAGGTTAAGCTAGCTTAGAACTATTCAACTAGTTTTGCGAAGAGTTTTCAAAAGTTTGCTGAACCAGTTTAAAAAAAACTTATTCACAACAAGGATAGCCGGTTGCTTAGCACAGAATGTTCCGATCACAGTCTTAAAAAAACTATTTTATACTTTCAAATTATTCCTCACTAGCATTATTCGTCGTTTTTTCGGCGTGGCGTGATAAAAAGATCTGAACGAAAAACAAGAGCTTAAGCATATTCAACAAAGATAGAAAAATAAGCAAATTAGAAAACATATTTTGAAGAAAAGTGACTAGAAAAACAAAAAAAAACCAAAAAAAATTCAAATTGTTTTCACTTTTTGCAGTTTTTTGAGTTTTGAAGTTTTTGATTGCAAAAAGGCGCTAAAATGCTTAATAAACTAAATTTACTCTAGTAAAACTAAAATTTTACGGCTTAACGTAAGTTATTGTAAGCTTTTAAGCCATTAAAATAAGCCACTGCAAGCCTTAAGCCGCTAGCTCTATTGGCTCGAATTAAGACGAAAAATCATAAACCTGTTTTTCTCAACGGTGGAAAAATTTCTTAAAATTTTAAAAGATTGTTCGAATTGCGACTAAAAGGGCTTTAAAGCAATCTATCACTCAGCTCTCTCCGATGTTTATTTGTGGTAGCTAATTCGCATGGAAAACAAAAAATAACTACAAGAAAAAAAACTAAATCATATTTTTGAAATGGTCGGAAAAATAACATTTTTCACAAAAGTGCACTGTGTTACACATTGATCAATTTTTTTAACCTGACTGAGACAACTATATCTATTACCAACTCAAGCTTCAACTCCAGCATAATGATGGTCTTGAACATTTTTCGGAAGTTTCTTCCGTTGCATCTCTCTCATTCTATTTTGTTATACAATAATGGAATACCAGAGATTCTACAACCTGCCCCACAAAAAATCAAATCTTTTATAAAACTTATTAGGAGAAGACCGTAAGCAATGTGTAAATCTTTAAATCAACTTCACACTGTCAATTATTCAATTATGACAAAAAAATTTGCCTAGTCAATGATTTGTTAAACAAAACTCAACAAAATCATGAAATTATTGCAATTTGCCGATGAAACAAGTATCCTATGTACAGGAAATTCAATAACATCGATTGTCGAAATATTAGAAAAGATACTTGAAAAATACTGAAATCATTTTTGCCCTCAATGTTGATGAAACTAAATTTACTATTTTTGCAAAAAATTTCGAAAAAGTTGATTAAAAAACATTTAAAAACTTCCACAAAAGAAGCACGACAGGTGTCGTGCAGTTTTATGAGACAAAAACCTTACCGTTTGAAATGAGCTAGGCAAATACTGAAGCAAATTGACTGTTTTATTTAATCAACACATTGAGACGACATATGATACCAAAAGAAACAAGAAATTTGATTTTCGAATTCTGAGTTTTGTCTCAACTATTGTTAAGTTTTTGATATCTAAAAAAAGTTTACTCCTGTCTCAAATTAACAAAGTAAAGAGGCAAATCAGCTAGATATGGGAAATTTTTTTGTGAAATCTACTTGCTCGCATCTACTTTACATGGTGGCCGCTCCTAACTTAAAAGGTTCGAACACAATCTCAAACTATATTACTAAACAATTTTATGACTTGTTTCTTTTTCAGAAGGCGACAGTGCAAACAAAGTCCATGCGTGGCATTTCATGCAGATTGTCTCAGTCTCGGTAATTTAACCGAAGGATTACCGCTTTCTTTGTATAATCAAACTTTATCGCGTTCTCTCTCTCTCTCATGAGTCGAAACTGTGCTACTTTGCCTTTTTTCGTCAAAAATGTGTTATTTCTCAATTAGTCATTTTTCTATATCAATTAACTTATGCTTTTATTTTTCAATATTGTACTATTATCGTTTATATTGCTATATGTTGTGACTATTATGCAGCGTTTTGTTACTTTGCACTTCTTGTGACTAAAATCATTGATTTGAAATTCCGAAACAAGTTGTTCCGAATTGAGTGAAAAATCATCTATAAACTTTATATTTGTTGTTGTAATCGGACTCACGGGTGTCCTGATTTATGCGCACAATTGTCAAAATCCATTTAAAGCTCTGACAAAATCTAAGAGAATTTTTCACACACAACGGGATCAAAAGGGTCATCCTGTGTTGGTCTTCACGTTTCTCAAAAATGATAGCAAATGCTAATCTTTTTTTTTCGTTCTTTCAACTTTTTTGTTACCCCACTTTTTGTTCTGAAATTGAGTCAGAATTTGGAGGTCAAAATTGGGAGTTTTCAGGTGTTTCAGCTAATCGCTTCAATAAGGAAAACCTAAAGTCTGCGGTTTATTTTCTTTCCCACGGTCATACGGATCACGTGGTGGGCCTTAATCAACCTGAGTTTTTCGAAAGATTAAAACGCTATACCTTACAATTCCGTTGTCATAAAATTTCAGCTAAATTTTTAAGTGGACTGCCGCTTTATATTCATTCAATTCCATGTTTAATGCCAGTAGAATCAGAGATTGAGGTAATATTGAAATTTTCAACTGAAGGCGACAAGACGGATACCTTAACAGTCAAAAATATTCCTGCACTTCATTTCCTAGGCTCAGTAACTTCTCACTAGTTTCCAAAGAGAAATTTGTTCTTTTCATTGGTACTTCAGATTGCATATTTTTGGCAGTTTTCCATTAACTAATCAAATCTTTTATAAAACTTGATAGGAGAAGACCGTAAGCAATGTGTAAATCTGTAAATCAACTTCACATTGTCAATTACTCAATTATGACTAAAAGAATTTGTTCGAGATCATGGTTAATTTGCCTAGTCAATGATTTGTTAAACAAAACTAAACAGAATCATGAAATTTTTGCAATTTGCCGATGAAACAAGTATCCTATGTACAAGAAATTCAATAACATTGATTGTCGAAATATTAGAGAAGATATTTGAATTATACTGGAATCATTTTTGCTCTCAATGTTGATGAAACTAAATTTACTATTTTTGCAAAAAACTTCGAAAAAAACGATTAAAAACATTTGAAAACTTCCACAAAAGAAGAACGACAGGTGTCGTGCAGTTTTATGAGACACAATACTTGCCGTTTGAAATGAGCTAGGCAAATACTGAAGCAAATTGACTGTTTTATTTAAATCAACACATTGTGAGGACATAAGGTACCAAAAGAAACAAGAAATTTGATTTTCGAGTTCTGAGTTTTGTCTCAACTATTGTTAAGTTTTTGATATCTAAAAAAAGTTTACTCCTGTCTCAAACTAACAAAATAAAGAGGCAAATCAGCTAGATATGGGAATTTTTTTGTGAAATCTACTTGCTCGCATCTACTTTAAATGTTGGCCGCTCCTAACTTTGTTTTGTTACTTTACACTTCTTGTGACTAAAATCATTGATTTGAAATTCCGAAACAAGTTGTTCCGAATTGAGTGAAAAATCATGTATAAATTTTATATTTATTGTTGTAATCGGACTCACGGGTATCCTGATTTATGCGCACAATTGTCAAAATCCATTTAAAGCTCTGACAAAGTCTATGAGAATTTTTCACACACAACGGGATCAAAAGGGTCATCATGTGTTGGTCTTCACGTTTCTCAAAAAAGATAGCAAATGCTAATCTTTTTTTCGTTCTTTCATATCTTTTGTTACCCGACTTTTCTTTCTGAAATTAAGTCAGAATTTGCAGGTCAAAATGGGGAGTTTTTTGATGTTTCAGCTAATCGCTTCAATAAGGAAAACCTAAAGTCTGCGGTTTATTTTCTTTCCCACGGCCATACGGATCACGTGGTAGGCCTTTAATCAGCCTGAGTTTTTCGAAAGATTAAAACGCTATAACTTACAAATCCGTTGTCATAAAATTTCAGCTGATTTTTTAAGTGGACTGCTGCTTTATATTCATTCAATTCCATATGTAATGCCAGTAGAATCAGAGATTGAGGTAACATTGAAATTTTCAACTGAAGGCGACAAGACGGATACCTTAGCAGTCAAAAGTATAACTGCACTTGATTTTCTAGGCTCAGTAATTTCTCACAGTTTTCAAAGAGAAATTTGTTCTTTTAATTGGTACTTCAGATTGCATCTTTTTGGCAGTTTTCCAATAACTAATCAAATCTTTTATAAAACTTGTTAGGAGAAGACCGTAAGCAATGTGTAAATCTGTAAATCAACTTCACATTGTCAATTACTCAATTATGACTAATAGAATTTGTTCGAGATCATGATTAATTTGCCTAGTCAATGATTTGTTAAACAAAACTAAACAGAATCATGAAATTTTTGCAATTTGCCGATGAAACAAGTATCCTATGTACAAGAAATTCAATAACATTGGCAGTTTACAAGAATTCGCTGTTAACAACTTTGATAAAATATACATTGATACAACTTTTTTGGGTTTACATTCCTTGTTTATACCTTCTAAGCAGAGGTGTTTTTAGCCTTCTGTCAAGCCGTATCAAATTGCCCTTCCGCATTTTAAAATAACGTGGTCTATTTTCGAAACCAATCTCGCTACGGTCATGAGTTTTTGTTGAAAGATCTTGCACTCTGATTCAAAACTAAAGCTCAGGTTTCGTTAGATCAGTATCAATTGTAAAAACTTGTCCCGTCAATCAAAATTGGCTCACCTTAGATGCTGAGATCATCAAAATATGTTTTTGCAAACTATTGAGCATCAAATTCAGAAATGCTCACAATTATTCCCACCTCAAATTTTTTCTAAAAATTGAGATTATG